GGCGCAGACAGGACGTCATAGCGAAGGCAATTCCGGCAGTTGCCGCGGGTCTCACTCCGAATCTGGCTCCAGTCCCTTGCTCTCACTCGCGTCTTCGACCCCGTCTACGACGAGGTGGCCTCCGAGGTCCTCATGCTTTGTGGGCAATACCAGGAGGATATGATGGGCTTGGCATATCAACTGAGACTTGGGAATATGCGGACTACCGGAATTTACGAAAGGCGTCGATCATCTGCCAGCAACCTGAACCTACCGCGCGCTTGCCCTTTGAGTGGGCGGCAGCCCGTGTTATATGAAGCATTTGCGCCCGCCGACAGTCTCACCCCATACGCTGCTATGTGTTGCATATCATAAGGCAGAGCGCAGACCACTTCGCGTACCATGTCAGGCTGATCCGCGCACGAAAGAAGACACCTGTGACACTTGTTGTCATCTGGACGTGCAAGTACACGACTTATGGCCGTGCGCCGTGAAGCCGTGAAGCCAACTACGAGAATGGGACCTTACTTGTAAGGTAAGAGTTCCCGCGTCACAGACATTCACGGCGCTAACCCATCGACAGCTTCGACGACCACTTGAGGGAATTATATCTCCCTCAGCGCTCTCTAGAAGAGTAACTCAGGTCCGCTCTCACAAGGCACTGCCGCTTGTAAGTAAGTCAAAGCAGGAACTCAAGAGATTGCACTCTCCAGCTCACAACGCCTGCAGCTACCCGCAAGCTCAAGCGCCGCCGCCGCGATGCACCTATGAAAGCTCACTTGCCTAGCGCTCGCATGGGGGAGTTACATGGTCGTCGCTACACCTCCTGCTCAGTCTGTGGCTACCGATAACGCACCACTCTCTACTGGGGGTGTTGCTCAGTCAATCTTCCGAAGGTTGCAGAGATACGATGTTGGGCGCTTGGCCTTGAACGTGCGTCTCCGCAGCAGACAGTCCATATCCCATTCAGCCAACAATCAGTCTTACAGGTGCTCGTGACGGGAGTGCTACTTGCTGAGAATGCATTCGCAAGTGGCGTCATCAATGTCGGAAGCCGCGCTCCTGAAGCACAATCCAACTCCGGATGTCTCTCCCCATTCTTCATCCTGGGCATCATCTTTGCCACCTGTGGTGCTGCCTTGCGACTATGGTACTATCACGCGATGGGCCATCACTCCATCTTCGACCTTACCCTTCTGAAGGATCACGAGCTGGTCACGGATGGACCATATGCGTGCGTGCGACATCCCGGCTACACCGCGCTTGTCTTCGATGTCGAACATAATGTCCAACATCATCGACTGGAGACGAGATGTCGTTAAGCGACGCTCGCATCGTTTCGTGCGTAACTCACTACATGTGCTTAGCTGTTTGTATGTTTATGCACGTATGCCGGTCCATGAGCTCGGGATGCAGTCGCACCTATAGGCCGTATCAGCATCTGAAGAAGGCTAGTTTCCTCAGCGAGATGCCAACCTCGCGAAGGTAAGTCCCACTCTCTGTGTGCCTTACCCGCCGCTCAACATCTATCGACGTACGGAATTCCTTTCATTCGTGGACAACTATTCGCCCCTCGAGATCACCGAGGGCCAGCTGCGAAATTGAACGCCGAGTGTGGCACGTACAGTGCCTGCATGTCCGCCCGCGGAGCCAGCATCGCAGCTTTTTGCCAGAGCGAAGACATCTCAGATCTCAGCGCCCGTGGGCCGTGCGGCCTTCGATCTACAAAAGCGTCAGATATTGTGCAATATCAAGATACCGAGGAGAACGCACCAGAGCAGCGAGCTCGTTGATATCGAGCGCCGGGTCCACGGACATGGGATGCGTCCGTATACGTAGCACCTCCGCGCGCCCCATCTTATTCGGCAGGCCTGCGTAGATGATTCTGTCCAACCGGCCTGGGCGCGTCAGGGCCGAATCTTGCAAGACGTTGTCAGTACTCCATCACAAGTGCAGAAGTGAACGGGTACACACCAACGCATCTGGCCTATTCGTCGCGCCGATGACGATGACGCCGGCCAGCTCATGAACACCGGAGTTCATCTCGTTCAACAAACTCGTCAGCACGCCGGTGTGGTTCGAGCCTTCCTGGCTGCCGCGAGCAGTAGCGAGAGCGTCAATCTCGTCCTGTACTTAGCGAATTCAGCATCTGCAAGAATAAAGACAGAAGAGGGAAACACATGAAAGAGAGTATCGAGGGCGCTGCCGCCCTTGCTTTGCGGAAGACCTCGCGAACAGCGCGCTCGCTCTCTCCGACGCACATGCCCAACAGCTCAGGGCCCTGAACCACGACGAAGTTCACCCCGCTCTCGGCCGCCGACGCACGTACGAGGACCGTCTTACCACCGCCAGATGGCCCAGCCAGCAACACCCCGCGTGGTGCGGTAGCACCCAGCCGAGCGAGCGCGGCGCCGTGCACAAGTGGCCACTCTATGCACTCGCGAAAGGCAGCAATTGTACATGCTTGTCCACCGGTCTCGGCCAAGCGTGGTGGTGATTTCTCCGCGTGTAAGGCGTGCGCCCGAAGAGCGGAGGGGCGAATCGAGGGAGGGTGGATGCGAGGTCGGTTGATGTGAGGAGCGCGTTCTCGAGTGACGATGTTGGTGGGGACGAAGAGAAGAGGCGCTTGATAGCAAGCGTTCCTGCTTTGCGCACGACGGGGGCGAGATCAGCGCCAACGTATCCAAGGGCGCGTACGGCAATGACATGCAGCTCCTCATCGCTCACGCCATTCGTCGTCTTCGCGAGCAGCACCTTCATGAGCGCCACACGCGCCTCCACATCTGGCACACCGATCTTCAACTCTCTATTGAACCTTCCCGGCCTACGTAGCGCAGGATCAATATCATTCGACTCATGGGTCGTTGCAACGACCACAACACTCCCCTCCTCCCCCGCATCAACCCCATCCATCTCCGTCGAAAGCGCCGCAACGTCCCTCTTCTCGACCTCCCCACCCGGGCCCGTCCTCTCTCCTTGGACCCAGCGTGTCGACCTCGTCCAGCACAATCAGCGCCGGCGCCTCGCCCTCGCCTTAGCGAACACCCGCCGCCGCGAGGTGCGTCCTCTTGTGCCCGGTGGACCATGCAATAAGAGCCCGCGTGGGGGTTTCAGTCCGAAATAGGCGAGCAGGTCCGGGCGTGTGAGCGGGATCTCGATGAGGTCGCGGATTCGTCGATGAAGGTGCAGGCTCTTGAGGAGGGTGAAGGTTGGATGGATGCAGTTCCGGGCGGTGTGGAGGGTGGTGTGTGTGCGGGTGAGGAGAGGGTGATGAGGGTGTCCCAGGTTATGGTTGAGAGTGTTGCGAGGAAGGAGAGGCTGAGGGTGACCATTGCTTGGGCGAGACCGTTGACGGTAGAGCTTGATTCACATTTTGTTGTTGAGAGGGAGGAGATGAAGAAGTAGTGCATGCGGCCTTCGTATTCTATTTGTATGTACGCTGTGTAGGAGTTATGTACTTGAGATCAACTATAGCAAAGCGGTGAGTACTTGTACGCAAGCAGCACATGAAAGAAGAGAGCATACCGAGTGTCTCGCAAACGAGTAGAGTGAGTCAAACGCGTCCCTTCTCCTTATCCGCCTTGCTGCTCTTCTTCGCGATTACAGCATTTCCTGGACGCCCACCTTATGAACCTTGAGCAATTCGGCGGATGGTGCATCTTTTGACGTAGGAACTCAAGTCGAGACAGGCTTTGTCGTAAGCGTGACAACACGTACGTTTGTGCCATTTAGTACTCGTGCGGTGAGCAAAAGAGAAGGCGATGCTTGAATTTCTGAAAGAAAATCAGTACACGAAGCGAAGTCCGCGAGGCGTTGCGTACATCCAGCTTCGAGTCCAAGCGAAGGGCAGGCAGAACCGACGGCATAGGGTTGAGCATCCACGCTGGCTTCAGACGAAGCAGAGAATGAGACGACTGTATCGCCGGCAAGACACTTCATGCTCTTGAGCGCAACATCGCTCAGGTAAATCCGCCGCGCCGCGCGGCCTTCGCGGCCTTCTGGTTCGGATAGGCGTATATCGAAGGTTTGAGTGAGCATTGGTTCTCAAGCAAAGTAATATTCAGCAAGCACATGTGATATGCTAGGCCTCTGCGATCACGAGATAGACGTCAAACGCGTCAAGTCGGAAAACGGTGCGGCCCACGCGGGTTGATGCATGATGTGTCTCTCGGTGTTTGCCTGTGTTCGCCAGTCTGAGTTTGACGTGATCGTGAAGTGGGGAGGGGACGAGAGCTGGCGGGCTAAACGGGCGGAACAGGCTCTGCACGCGAGCGGCACGCGAGCACCGGTGCCGGGTGAGGCGCCTAGGCCTTGTCCCTCTGGTGTATGAAATATCATCCACATCACCGAACTGGCATGGAAACGAGCTGGCTCAGACCTACTTCAACAACATGACATCTCACCCAAAAAGTCTTGAAAATCATCCTGTCGTCAGCATGCCCTCGACTGCCTGATTGGGCAGATTTTCCGCATGAATAAGCATTGCCATTGCCCCAACCCATTTGACACGCAGCTGGCAGGCGCATGGTCACAAACAGTCTCCCTCTGACATTCACGAGGCTTCGCCTGACTGTCATCTCGCTCAAGGGTCATAGTGATAGAGCGTATCTGTGACAAGAGAGCAGTCCGACGAGCAGTACATAAAATGCCATAGACAGCCATTAATCATAGCTCTGCTTGCGGCCCTTGTGGCGACAAGTCGGGCACAGTGCTACCCAACGCTTGACGAAGGGGCGCGAAGGGCCGATGTAGCGTTGTCGTACCCTCTGAAGAGTCCTCTCAGACTTGAGGTGGTTCCTCCCATGAGCGCGTACGAGCAGATTGTAGAGCTCGGGCCCATCGTCGACGAGCCTGCGCTCACCGCCGGCGCGAACATGGTTACGTCCGAGCCATTCACGATCCTTCGATTCCAAACCGTCCCTGAATCGGATGGGATCAGTGAGCCAGGCGCGTACCGCGCGATGCTTGCTTTTGGGCGGAACGACCCAATAATTCGCGGCCTTGTGCTCTTGTTCCAGTTCCAGGTGTTGGTAAAGCTTCGGGAACCCGACGGGCTGATTGGATGATACGACAGAGGGGACGGATCGAGACATACTGCGCCCCGCGACGCTCTATACAAGTTGTGAGGCTAGAGAAGTGCAGACAAGACACACGACGTACTGCCTTCTTCATGATGTGCGGGAGGATCGACGCTCCACGAACGCATACCGTATGGCGGTCCGGTTGATGAGACTGCCTCTCGTCCTCTACGACGCCTGCAACATCGACATCGAAGGAGGTGGGAAGCGGCGCCCGGGGTGAGCGTATTTCGCCGCCATGACACAACTGTACTGGGGTATCATCTTCTGCCTCATGGGTAAGGTCAATTGCTTTGCCAACGGCAGATTGCGGCGCTAAGGGTTATGAGTGGTGTAGTGATATCTCAGGTAAACGAAACTCACCGCAGACTTTAACGACGATCTCGTATAAATTGCTGACGACGAAAGGGTACGACGTCTTCGTCAGGACGACGTGATCTGCAGAGTTCAGTAGATGGATGTCAGGATTGCCCTGCAGAGGGCCGCGCAAAGCGCGTCGGATGGTAGAGAGCATGTGCTGCGTCATTCATCGTGAGCTAACAAAACTCGCTGGCCACGTCTGGCAAGTGCTCACTTTATAGTAGACGCATCGAGGCAAACTGTAGACGGTCGTGTCGCCATATACTCGTACACGGACTATCGTAACAGTTGGCGCGGGAGGAAGTTGAGCAATATTGAGGTATGGAGTGTCAGGGAATGCGGGTAGCTTCGTTGGCACGGAGCTGAATTCGGAATCACACATTGCGAGCTGAGAGGGTGACGGTCAGCCACGAGCACACCAATGATGGCAGGGGCTTTAAACGCGAGATGTAGGCATACCTCGCCGCCAGGTTCAGCGAGTGACGTTCACATGTGATCAAGGGTATCGCCCGCGCCGGGAACACTAAGCATGATCGTCGAACGCAGGAAAAGAAGGACATTGCGCCCAATAAACCTGCCGGAGAGCCGCGCGAGACCTTACACACAGGAGAAAGAGCATTGCGCCCGCCGGAGATATGAACGACGTAAGGTATGAATTGACGAGGGCCGCTGAGAAGGACATGACGGTCTAAAGCAGCCAGGCGCGCGCCGTGGCCAACACGCCCCTGCGCCTCGCGTCTCATCTTTCACACATCCCAACTTGACCGCGAACAGCCACGATGCCTGCAGTCTATTTATTTTTGGTTCTGGACTGTAGGACTGTCTGATATATTCATTCGGACGGCTCTGTGCTGGTAGTCTCACGAATATGGCTCGCTTCCGAATTGTCACGCCCATCTTGCTGAATATCTTCATCCCTTTGACGCTTGTCTACACCTACCTCGCGTATAAACTTCGTGCGTCATGGGGCGATAAGCGCGTCGGCGTAGAAATGGCTCTCAAGCTAGAGTCCCTATCTGGAAAGAAGCTCGTTGGCTTCTTTCACCCTTACTGGTAAGCGCACATCCTTGCATGACCTTAGGATCCTGGGATGTCTGATGTGATCAGGCTTTCAGCAATGCGGGAGGTGGCTGTAAGCGCGTGTTGTGGACGGCTATCGCCCATTGTGGTGTATAGCGGCGACGTTGACGCGACTAAGGAGGAGATCATCGCTAAAGTGAAGGTACCCGTGGCCAACTCAATCTCTCAGTGCGGCCGTACTTATGACATCTGAAGGCACGCCTAGACATTATTCTTAACCCCAACACCCTGCATTTTGTATTTCTGAGGTCGCGCCGCTGCATCGAGGACGCCTCATGGCCCCACTTCCACTAGTGATGGACGGCGGTTATCAAACCTGATAACAATTGATGGCCCGGGTTATCAAACCCGCCCTTGAGCAGGATCGCATCAAATGTGCCACATCGGCACTCACTGGATGCTGTCAGCGACTTACCTAGCATCGATATTCCTTCTCAAAAGGACGTATGAGCTATAAATGTTCCTGACCCTGAGAATAGGAGGCAGAGAGTACCATGACAGGGCCCATGTATCAGTTATCGAGTGAAAGCAAAAAATATTGAATTTTTTGTAAATAGTGACTGGGGCACATACATCAGGGACCTCAGAATGTACATATACAACATTTAGATCGGCAATCACAATTATACACCACAACGGAAATAGATCGTGCAAACACAATGACCAACACGAAGGACGGCACGGAGCACCGTCCACTGGCTGCTGCCAGGCCGCTCGCCAGCGGGTATAGCGCGAGGCGGCATCAGAGCCACGCGAGCGAGCGTTGCGACGTCGCATCGGCTAGCGCGAAGGGGCCTCCACGCACAAGCACCAGGGCACCGCGAAGCGATGTGTTCGCATCCCCGTGAGTGTGTAGGAAACTGTGCCAAGGAAGTATTAGTAGATGCTCACAAAGTCAAACAAGGGTGAGACGTACCCACAACTACGACGAGGTGGCGCCAGTCCTAACGAAGCATACACCGTTCACAGCGGGCGACGGACAGGCATGCAGCAGACGGAGGCGCGGCAACGTCGCCAGCGAGCGGACTATATGCCGAATGACAGTTCGGTCAGCTCCAGTTCGTAGCGTACACGATAGGGGACGTACCCAGCCGGTGATGCAAGGCGAGCCATGGCTAACAGCTGTGTGGATACTTGTGAGCGGCGAGTCGTACAATTACTGCTTGTTGACTCACCGATGAGCTGGCGTTGGCCTCGCGTCGCGCGCCCGATCAAGAGGTACGTCGTGTCATATTAAGAGACGCGACGACGACAAGGGAGACGGGAGGAGCTCGGGGCAAAGACGTGAGAACGAGTGAGGGGATGATGGGGGGAAGAAGGGAAGAACGAACGACTTCTCGCGGCTGACGCCCTCGGAAGTTGCCGAAACCGGCCGGCCACGCCGGCTGCACGCATACATATAGGCCGACCTGGTTGCACGGCCTTGCCGCTATTGATAATGGTCACAGTAGAGAGAGAATGCATACAAGATTAGCATATTGACATGACCAAGGGAATATGTTCGGTCAAGGGATCATGTTCACCACAAGAACAGAACATGTTTGGCCAAGGGATCATGTTCGCTACGCAAACAGAACATGTTTGGCCAAATAATCATGTTCGCTACATAGAACAGGACATGTTCGGTCGGCCGATCATGTTCGCAGACTGAAGAGAACATGTTCGGTCGGCGATCATGTTCGCAGGCTGAAGAGAACATGTTCGGATGAGAGGATCATGTTCGGTCGGCCGCTCATGTTCGCAGACTGAAGAGAACATGTTCGGTTGAAAGGATGATTCGTATACACGATGCAAATAGAACGCATTCGGTCAACGGGACGCACTCTAGCTATACGCTGAAAGCTAGGATAAGGGGTCCCATGTTGTTGGACGGAGTCATGAGTGACACGACGATGTGAAGTAGGGAGTTGAAATTGAAGATGACAACTACCGAATGCACTTGCAAGCATGAATTTACTCCAGTAATATACCTTCAATACTTTCCAATGTGCTGATGTGGCGCTGAATACGATGGAATACTAACAGCCAAACAACGAATCATGGTGTGCGAGGCAAAACCTCAGTAACTTGCATCTGGACGTAGCGTAAGAGGGTCCAGTTGCAGTCGTTCGCCGGGCTTCAGCCGCGTTCATTTAATGCAAGTTCAAGATGAAAGTCGATACAGATAGTACAGTACATGCGTTTGGGCGGGTAAACTTTAGGTAGATCAGTTTTACGAGAACCTTAGGACTCTGAACGATCCCTCACGACCTCTTCTTCTTCGACTGCGGGGGGGGTCCCGGCGTGCTTGTCGGCTTACGCTTCGCAGAAAACTGCCTCACCTTGCCGCCTCCACTGCTACCATTCTTGTAACCACGCGCCGGCTCTTCGTCCTCGCTCTCGATCTCGATGATGTCCCCTTTGCTCATGCGGTCGATGGCCTCCGTAGCCTGTGCCGTCTGCTCGGCGTTACGCTGCGTCAGCACTTCCAGGAGCGAACTCGACACCATCGGCGCTGCCGCCGGCCCCGGCTGAGCGTCGCGCGCGGCCCCGATGGTCGCACGCATAGCCCGCAAGGCGTCCGCTGCATCGAGCATGACGACGCGGAAGTCTTCGCGCTTCTTTGGATCGATAGCATTGGCTTGATAGATAGCCCGTATGACGCCGATGAGCCCGTACCGGCCCTTCATCTTCGTAACGTCCTTGTAGGGTTGCTCACGAATGTTGCGCCAGGTCTGGGCAACGAGCTGCGTGTAATTTGGCTCTGCGACTGTCGGGTAGATCTTCGACACCATCCGCTGCTTCGATGCCCATTGCTTGGCGGACTTGATGTCGAGAGGTGCGCGGCGCGGGGCCTGTATCATTGTCAGCGGCGGCACATACTACAGGTATCCCAAGCTCACCTGTTCGTCACGGGCACTCGCTATCTCAAAGCCCATCATCTCCGTTGCTAGGTCCGCCGCTGCCTCAAAGTCCACACCTGGCCGGGTCTCAGCGTCGGACCATACGACACCGGCCCAACGCAGTATGCGGCCGATGAACGGTCCGATGGGCATGGCATCGTCGTCCTCCTCGTTCGTCGGTGCCGCGGTCGTCTCCGCTTTCTCGCTTTCGGTTTTCACCGTTACCGCGTCGATTTCGTCGTCGTCGTCTCGCACCAGGCCCTCCACCTCATCGTTGTCATCCGCGGCTGCACTGCGCGCATCTTCGTCATTCTCGTCCGTGTCCGTACCGCCAGGATGGTTGTCGGGCACCTCCGTCGGTCCGTTGTCGAGCGCAGGCATCATCTCGTCGTCTATGGCTGTCACGGGCGGCATGGCGTTCGAGTCCTAAAGAATGAGATAGTTACTTTCGCGTTTGAATCCTCGGAAAACACGCCGAGCCTCACCTCCCCAGCAATGTCGGGGGCCCGCGTACTTTGCGGGACCACCATGGCGTCCCAGGTACCCTTGTCTTCGCGTGTCGTAGCTTCCTCGGGCTCGCCGGCTTCCATGTTGTCCTCGGCCTCGCCGAGTTCAACCTACCAGATCAGTCAGCACGTTTGAATGACAGGTGCGTCAGCCGCAAAGGTCAACAATTCACCCCTCCATTGCCCTCCGTCGGCGTGCTGTCACTTTGGGCCGCAGTTTGCGCTGAGGGGCCCTGTGGCCGTCAGCGTCAGCCCTTGCCTGCGCGAAAGATGTTCACACAACTGCGAGACGTACCTGCGCCAGCAGAAGCGCGAGCCGCTTCTCGGCGACTTCCATCTGAGCACGGGCGATTGCAATCTGGAGACCCTGCGGAAGGTGACGATACTGGACAGGCCGCAAGTTCATATCGAGCTTACCTGATCCATGGTACAGTCCGCAGGGAAAGTGATGGTTCGTGGTGGTGGGAGGCTGGGAGGATCAGGCGCACCGAAGGCTTATATATCCGCGAACGTATGCGCCGCTGCATGGATCGTCGCGCTCGAACGAACTTGACCGCCATCACAGAGCGGTCTCATGACCGCAACGTGTAAGTAGGTTGGCGCCACTCCCTCGAACGAACTTGACTGCCATCACAGAGCGGTCTCATGACCGCAACGTGTAAGTAGGTTGGCGCCACTCCGTCTCATATCAAATATCAACTGCCGTGTAAGCGAGCGCAGACCAAAAGGAATGATGTTGCTAGTAATGAGTCAGTAGTCGACCATGAGGGTGGCTCAGGAGACGATCCGGTGTCGAGGGTGCGAGTGGACGAACGTTGAGGCGCGTACACGCATGAGGGCGTTTTATCGCACGTCCTTCGATAGCCCTGGCCACAAGTTACGCTCCCTTCCTCCATTACCAGAGAGCAGACAGAACAGACGTGACTAGGCTAAGAGACCAGAGTGTATTGACGGCTATTGCTGTGCCCGGGGGGTGAAAGGGCTGGAGATTGACCACCGGGATCAGCGTCGAATTTGACGCCAGCGCAACCTGCGCCAGGAGCGCGTTTGTTTGGACTAGCACGTCCGTAGTGTGTGTGCGAGGATCGGGGTACAGGCCTTTATAGCCATCTACAAGGAAGATCGCAAC